GTCCCCCCCCCCCCCCCTCTTTTTTCCTTTTTGTCACCTCTTTTCCCTCCTGCTGTTACTGTTCCTAACACCTTTCTTCTCCTCTGTCTCTTCTCGCTCACTGCGTCTTGCTCTCACTTTTTTCTTCAAGTAGCTGAAAGATTAGTCATTTGAGATCAGACGACCTTCCAGATACTGAGGCGCTACAAGTCCCGACATCCGGAGTGCCGCAGGTTTCAAGGCCTCTACTAGATTGTATAAAACAAATGTCTGGTTCACATGGGTAAAAAAAAAGGAAAAAAAAACTTTAAGTTCCCCCCCAAATTTAAACTTACACATAAAAAGGAATAAAAAAACAAAAATTTTTTTTTAAAGTCCCCACCCATACATACACGCATGCAAACATGCATCTCTTCAAGTGGTTAATATCTGACACATGCACTGGGCTTGGGCTTGGAGCATAATGACTGTCAGTCATTCTATTCAGCGAAATCTGTGCATTGGGCGAAGCCATTATTTACTATAGTGCCTGGTGTATGCATAGGATTTCAAAAGGGCTCTGGAAGGGCTATTACACCTACGCTGAGGAGGCCGGGTGAAGGCAACTGCGACTTAAGCTTCTGGTTCTGTGTGCATTGGAGCTGTGGGGAGAGAGGAACCGGTCTTGTATTGTTTAGGGCTCATGCACACGGCTACACAGGGCCGTATAGTGTACATTCGGGGGTATTTCTTCACCCGGGAGTCACAGGGTGCAGTGTACAGCCATAGCCAGGCGTTCTATACAAATCCAGTGACAGGCAATACATCTGTACATAATCTACACACTGCAATGTAGGTGCTGCGCTGACCGCAGCCATGTGTGTGAACCCTAAAGGTGCACCTACCCTATAGAAATGTAACATAATGGAATCATCATCCCATAAGATGGGAAAGGAGTGTTGAAGGAGTAACAGTTTGTCCAACGTTTTCAGCATGTGGCCCTACTGCTAGCTCTGTGACTGTGCCCGGGATATTTATCAAAGTCTTGATGATCTTGTCATGTCCGGACATCCAGGCCCACAAGGTGTAGGACAATCCAGGCCCACAAGGTGTAGGACAATCCAGGCCCACAAGGTGTAGGACAATCCAGGCCCACAAGGTGTAGGACATTTTTACAACCTTGGGATTTGTCTGGACACTCTGCTGAACATTGTAGAGTAAATCACCATTTTCCAGCTCAGACCTTCTTGGGAAAGGAATACACCCTGTTCATGGAGATTACTCTGCTTGTAGACTGGATGACCTTCCTATGTTCCCGAGTATCTGGAATTTCCGAGATACTTGACCATCAGACGTTGTATGCAGGTCTTTAAAATGATCGACTTGGTAATGAAGCCATCGCTGATTGGCTTGTGCATTCCATTCACTCCGGTGTCACTTTTAGGCCCCATTCACACTAAGCGATTTATTGTGCAATTTTTTTTGCAGCGATATCGCTCATATTTCCGCGCGATATCGCTCTATGTAGCTTCTCCAATCCATTTCAATGGAGCTGTTCACATCCTGCCGCTCAATATCGCTTGTAGCTCGTCGCTGTAGCTTGTCGCCCCTACATGACCCTTTTTTTCTGCGGATTTTGCTCCTGATTGCATACAGCCCAATAGGAAAAAGTCGCGTGACAAGTTGCGCAATATCGCACATGGAAAATCGCACGATTTTCATGTCGCTCCAGTGTGAATGGGGCTTTATAATGTACCTGTATTTGCTTGTAGTCTGAACTCCGTGTCAGCAGGACCTTGTAGCCCAGCACCTTCATCTGTCTCCAAGCAGTCCCTGGGAGTTCCATCACCAGGGTGCTCAGTTTTGAAGATGCCAAGTTCAGCCCAGAAGTCATTGCCTTGGTCCACCTCCTGCAGCTTGTTGTTTGTTACTAAGGCTTCAAGTCACGTTCTCTGCTCCCAGTAGTAAGGCACAGAATGGAGAAGGCCATGGTGCTAAGTTCCCAGTTGGGCGCAGCATCTGGACAATGGCTTATCTTGGGGTTTGGGTCTTCCAGGGCACTCGTGAAGATGACTTGAAGCACGGAGCTGCATGTTGTCAGACTTAGACTGTAAGTCAATACAGGTTGCTGTTAAAGGTTGCTTGGTAAAGAAAGTTTCCTGACACCAAGGTGTTAAAGACGCATTGTAAAGGATAGAGAAGTCTTGTGAAGCATTCTGTATAAGGGTTGCATTGGCTTTGTATGTTGCTTGACTAATGTTCCTTTATCACAGCGGTCTGATTAAGTACCAGCTCTTCCTGACCTTCACCCGGCTGCTGCTGCTGAGTTATTATAGCAACTCTCATGTCTCAGTCTTGAAGCTGACCTCTCACCCGGAGACCAACAGTATCCACGCCCGCTGGTCCTTCACTGGCCTTCCGCTGCACTGCCTCCTCATCTACATTCTAAAGAGTGACAAGACAGAGCTGTACAGGTGAGCCAATGCTTCCATCTACATGTCTTTGTGTAGCCAATGGGTTGTTTCAGAGCCAGGTAACGTAGAGCAGCCAATCGTGAATCATCCTTCAATACATTAAATGTAATCAATATGGTGTGTGCATCTTTGTGTAGCTTTATTGAACACTACAGCATACATGGTCATGTAAAATATGTATTTGTTACAGGTATTTATATAGTGCTGACCATTTACACAGCGCTTTACATGGTGCACACTCGCATCAGTCCCTGTCCTCAAGGAGCTTACAATCCAAGGTCCCGATCTCGCATACATACAGGGCCAGTTTAGACAGGAGCCAATTAACCTTCCAACATGTCTTTGGAGTGTGGAAGGAAACTAGAGTACCCGGAGGGAACCCAAGCAAGCACAGGAGGAACACGCAAACTCCTTGCAGATAGTGACCTGGCCGGGATTCGAACCGGGGACCACCAATACTACAAGGCAGAAGTGCTAACTACTAATATGCTAAAACAAGGACTAACCCCACTTTTTGGAATTCTGATTGCAATAATGATAAATAAATAACTTCTGTTGCAATAAGACAACACTGGACTTTGCATTCTACTAATGGAAGCTCCACTCTGAGGATGGCTGCAGATTGTGAGTTGGGTGGGGGAGGAAGTGCGAGGTCACCTTAATTCTAACAGGGGTACGCTCTCTCTTAGCTGAGTTCAGACACTGTGTATAGGACAGGGCAGAAACTTTGTGACCCCCCCACCCCCTGACACAACCTGGAGTGTCACAGCAACTAGATGCTAAATAAGGGAGCACATTTTAATCTATCAGCAGTAAGTCCACACAATTCTAACATGTAATCCCTATTTGGATTCTTGTATAGCCCTAGTAGTGATTGGTTCCCCTTTAGGGTCCACTTCTATACTGTCTTGAGTGTTGTGGGATATTTAGGTTTGAGATTCTAAGAGGTAGGCGGAATTCCTTATCTCTTTGTGTGTCCTTGGTCAGAGACTCAGAATGCACGGGGGCCAAAGCATTAACTTGACAGCCAGGAAGCTAAAATTTGAAAACGAGAGGCCAGCAATGGCAGATCTTTTTCATGATGGGGAAAAATAGGGCAGCAAATGTTTTCCCTCTCGCCCCCTACTGCAGTATTTTGTGTGTACACACACACACACACACACACACACACACACACACACACACACACTATAAGTTGTAATATAGTGTCACGTAGCACCATATTGTCTTCCCCAGCATCACTGGTTAGGTCACTGTTTCTTATCTGCTTAGATCATTTCCCCAGTGTTAATATCGGCATCTTTTGCATCACCAGGTTGTGAGTTTCTAGTTGTCTGATCTTTGCTCTTAGCAGCACTATGGACCTATGTGCATGTCGAGGATTCTGCTTGTACAATCGTCATATTGGTGCTATATACCACAGCTGAGTTGTCATGATGTGAGAGGTACAAAGCAGGACATAAGGGGCCAGAATTCAATGAGGGGAATTTATCAAAACTGGAGCAGTTGCCCAGGGCAACCAATCAGCTTTTCTCTTTCATTTTCAAATCGTAACCAAACAAACTGAAGATAGAAGCTGATTGGTTACCTTGGGCAACTGCTTCAGATTTTGATTAATTCCCCTCAATGTGTCTTTGTCTCACTAAAGCTTCTGTCCTCCAACATCCAGCTGGATCTAGGCTGACTTGCTTGCTAGGCCTAGTGGGTGGATATCTTATGGTCAGATGTAACATAACATTAGCAGTGTCATCATGGAGGGAGAAGTGGGGTGTGTTATCTCTGGTCTTGGTTCTATTTTAATATTTAGAACAATAACCTCATTCTGCAGATCAGAGCTAACATTGTTTTCTGTCTAATATTTCAGGACGTACGATGCTTTCTCCATTTTTCAGCTTGCACCTGATGGTCTGATAGGTTTACATAAAGTAGAGCGGGTAAGTGACCATTATAAAACCTTTTGGTTCCCCTGAGATACTTATAATAGTGTTGATGGGTGTCTCTGCTCAGCTCTGGTGACAGATCTTACCCTGGAAACACCTATAGTGCATTTCCTGGTAATTCTGTGATAAAAGGAATCTTACCCAATGCGAGAACACACTCCGTACCAATGTTTTGTCTGTACGATCAATAGTGCCGGAAAGCGTAGTGTAGAGCTATTCGTAACCGGCAGATTACACGTTTTATTTGAATCCAAAGAATGAAAGGTTAAACCTGATTGGTGACACTCCTGTCACTGGTCATCTCTGCTGACCCCACAGGACCACTCCTAACTGGACACCAGAGAACCCGTCATCCCAATGTTTTATTTAAAGGAGAACTACGGGGTCAGTGTTTTTCCCCATAGTTCTCCTTGGGGTAACGGGAGGACACAAACTAGCGTCCTCCCGTTACCCTAAGCTCAGTATACCGCGAGCTACAGCTCGCGGTATACTGAGACGCCGCACCAGGAGCGGATCCCGACTTAGATGACGGGATCCGCCCAGCTGCGTGAGTGTCAGCTGGCTCTGCCTATCTAGAGGCAGAGCCAGCTGTACCCGCCCCCTCCCCCGTCCGTTCCGCCAGTCAGCGCTGGCAGATCAGAGAGGGGAATCCAGCCCCTCCCCCTGTCACGGCAGAGAGCCGTGACAGGATCGAGAGGTGAGGGAACCCGGTATGTGTTCTCTCACCTCCCGATCTACTGAGCCGACCTGTGACAGTCTCATTGTCACAGGTCGGCTTAGAACTATGAGGTGAGTGGAAATCACTCATCTCATAGTTCTCCTTTAAGTCCTAGCTCCAGGATCATTTATTGTTTCACAATGTACCTACCCAACAGCTCTCCCCCTGCAGGTTCAGCCTCTCCTGGCATGAAATTCCCAGCAGGTCTGGCTGAATACGGGGTAAGTAGTTAGGTCTTCATATAATACACTGCCTCATTTTACACAAGACACGGGCTGCCAGGACAGACTTTTGTTTTGTGCTGAGTTGTCTGATGTGTCCAGATTGAAGGTATATGCACATTGTTTACTATGCCTGTCTCTTACAGGTGATGCCATCGTCACCACTTACTGTAACCAAGAAGACCGTACTGGCTGCTGCACTGCTCGCTTTAGGACTGGGGCCAGATCGGCCTGCGTTAAATCTTCTCTCCACCCCTAAACTGCCCGACAAATTGTAACCTCTGCTGAACTGGGAGTGTACTGTGCACTGCTGCTGCCGCCCCCTTAGCAAGTCCTACCTAGTATAAAGACAGACCGTGCCCGGAGATGCCGCCTCCTAGAGCCCAACAAAACCAGATGCTGCAGAGCCCATCTAGAATAACCAAAGGCCTTAGTGCCCTGTAACCCGTCACTGGATGACTTCACTACCAGACATGTCTTTACACTATTAGATCTGGCCTGTGTCCTGTTATGTCATTCTAACCTTACAGTTTTATCTTTGTCTAAGCCCATCATGAGGTAGGCGCTTCCCAACTTCTCTGCACTGCTGTGTCTGCATGCGCAACCTGGACCTTGCCTGTGGATGTGTAACATATACTGTATATAATTAAATTATAACAACAATTGTCTCTCCTGGTCTTGGCAAATTCACATCAATCCAGCACTGTGAAACTCCACTGGTTATGGTGACTTTTCAAAGGGCAATTGATTTTGTTTTTTAAGGCTTATAAGATAACACGTTGCTCATCTTATTCAATCAGAAGACCTGCTGTACACCTCACTGCAGTAAAGGAAATCTGATTGGTTACTCTGAGGTAGTGCACATCATTGCATTGCAAACCTCTGCATTGTAAGGATCTGTGCCGATGGGCATTTGCTCGCTTCAGATGAATGTTGCATTCCCATACAAGTCTATAGGTGTAAACTTCAGGTCAAACGCACCGCTCCATTAATTCCGAATGATCTCAGAAGCGTCTCAGTGACTGACACAAGGAAAAAGCTGTCAACACAGGCCCTAAAACATAAGCACGTTCAAGCATGTTTCAGGTGTTGCAGATATAGAATGCATATATTTCCCCCAATGAAGTACGGTCAGGAATTGGTGCAATCAGGGGTGTAACTAGAAATCACAGGGTCCCATAGCAACATTTTGTATGGGTCCCTGTGATTTCTAGTCATACCCCTTGCAGAGCCCACTTGAGATCCTGCAGAGCCCACCATACGGGCGGACAGGTAAGGTCGCACTCCTTACCTGTCTGCTTCTTCAATACACTGCTGTTAGATCTGGTCTCGCAGCTATCTTACTCGGCCGTCCTGAGCCTGGCTTTTGTAGTGCCGTGTCTGGACCCCGCTGGACTGGGTAATGGGGGGCTAGCCCAGAAGTGACCTTTTAGGCAATGTGTTCTGCATAGGGGTGCTCTCCAGACTCTGTTCTTGTATAATTTAGCTGTGGCGTACTTTTCCAGGTCCAGAGCCACTGGTATTACTTCAGCGCTTGCTCAGTCTGTGAAGACTTGCTTTGTGAATAGGCTGGTTGAGCCAAACGTCGGGAGCTACCTTAAGTTCATAGGTCACATCACGCCTTTACATTTCCCATTTCCTGCCAGTTTCTGCCTCAGAAGGGGTTAACGTGGGACTGAGCTATTACTTAATTGGCAGGGTCGAGTGGCATGCTTGTGCTCTTTCCAACCTTACAGCTTCAAGGAAGAATCTTCCAGCGCCTGCTTTGTTTAGAGCTATGAGGAAGTTTGATCCATTCCTACTGCCCTCCTACAGTGACTTTGGTCACCTTCAGCCATTCATCCCTCACCTGCTACCAATTGTCTGGGTTTTGTGAGTGCCTGAGGCCTTGCCTCCGACCCTAAACCATATGTTACTTTACTCCACACCATGCATGATTCTAGACACGGAGGGGGACAGCTCTGCTGTACCGGGTGCCCCCACCTCAAACTCCCATCAGTCCCAGCATTGCTCCCAGCATGCTCACTGATGTGTTCATCCTCCTTAGCGTTGTGGAGTGTGGCCAGCTCCTCTGCCCTCTCAGCTGAGATTTTTATTACAGTCATGTAAGACTTTATGGCTCTAATCATCCAGTTATTTGCGGACTCTGACCGCAGAGGTCACAAGCACAGTCCTGCACCTTCCCCTGCAAATCTGTATCTGATCTACCTGCAGCCTCAGCCATCAGCTGCTGAGATCCTGTCCAACGTCCCGGTGGCTCCATTGGATGAGCTTGCCTCCAAGGAGTCTGTCTTCTGCCATTATTTCCAAATAGAGACTATTTTGACTCCTATTGATGCGATGCGCACCACTCCTAAACTTGAGGATCAGCCTGTTGCCTCTCCCAGTGCTATGTCCTTTAGGGCCACTAAGACTGCAAAGTTTTTCCCGATACGCTCACTGTTCCAAGTTGCTGCCTATGGAGATTGAAAACACTCTTAACAAGATATTTGCTCCCCTGGAATGTTTATTAGCCTTGTATCCATTTAAAGGTGACTGGATCCGGCAGTGTCCTGCCTTAAACAGTGGGGGCAGACCACTTCTAACAATGCCGCCACCATACCAGTGAAGGATGCCCCCTTCTTAAAGGACCAAACTGATAAATGGTTGGATTCCCTCTCTAGAGCCCATTTCTTGCTGCCAGGCCCTGCTCTTCATCCCATCTTAGCTGTGACCCCTCTGTAACCACCCAAGGATTTGGCAAAGTCCTGTAAGAGGGATCTTGCCACTGATCCCTTGGACATAGAGCATTTGAAGCAAGTGGTTGTAGCTTTAAATCCCATTTCCACCTTTTCTGGGGTATTTTTTTAGGGCTGTGGAAATTAAAGATTAATCGTTAAACTTTTTGATCGATTCAAATTATGTTGATCGCTAATGAAAACACTCAGCTCTCCGCCGGCTTCCGGGAGTCCCGTTGGCGATCCAGTGACGTCACGGACATAGACATCACCGGACTCCTCCCCCTTCCCCAAGTGGCTCCTTCGGCTAACGAAGGGAGGGGGATGTGCGTTATAACTAATCGATTAAAAAAATTTGATTAATCAAACACGAAAATTTTAATCATTACCAGCCCTAGTATTTTTAAAAACACATATGCCAGCCATGTACACAAAGTGTACATGAAGTAGGCATATGCAGTTGCTGTATACGAACATTAACAATTACATTTTTTTTGTTAGCTTCCCTCTTCATGGAAATGGCTGCAATTGGGCTTTACAAGTGAACTCTCCACCCACCCATTAGTATTCATAGTGGCACCCCCTCCCCAGACAGTGTATAGTGTGCAAAGGCAGAGCTGCTGTTTCCTGATAGTGTTACAATGAATTACAGGGAGGGGGGAGAGCTGTTTAAAGTCTACTTTACATCCGAACTCATATCCGACTGAGTTTCCTGTGGAGAAAATGTTTAATTTCGAGGCTTTAGGCCTAATAAAAACTGAATTAAAAAAAGATGAAGAAAGCCTGCAATGTGAGTCATAAAATGTACACACATATACATCATCACTGCACCTCCTCATTACCACAATACATGCTAATCACTTACAAAGGTGGAAATGGACTTTATCTTAAGTTGTGATGGGCTGCTGGAGGTTTCCTATCTCCCGGGTCTTCTGTCAGTACACATGTGAGGACACTTTTGTTAAAGTGTTGGAATGTGGGACTCGCATCTAATGAAGTGTCTGATCCATGTAGCCTTCAACGGACAACATTGCTTCAGATGTACTCTGGATACCACTAGCATCAGGCCTAAAGGTGCCCATACACTGCTCGATTCTCGTACGAGAATCGCCGGAAATCCCGCAATCGTACGAGAATCGAGCAGTGTGAACGGAGACGTGCGTCCGTTTCTACTGTACGGTCGCGCGTCTTCCGTCGAACCAGCATGTTCGAAAACCCGCCGGGAATCGTACGATTCTCGGCTGGTTAGAACGGTGCTCGGAAGACAAATGCTGAACGGGCCGGTGTGCGCACACTCCCCTTCAGCATTGCGGTCATCGGAAGCCCGCCCCTAAGGGGGGCAGGCTTGCGATGATTGAGAGTGCGATCTGCCTGTCCAAGATAGGCAGATCGTACGTTTTTTTTAATCCCTGTACAACCATCGCAAGACTAAAGTCTTGCGATGGTTGTAGAGTGTATGGCCAGCTTTAGACTTACGCAGAAGCAGCGAGTTAGAGGGCTCGGACATTTTTCTTCTAAAAGTAATACTTTGGCCTGAGCTGTGTCCACGACTATATCAGATGCTCCAAATGATGAGAACTGAAATAAATCCAGTTTGTACCCTTGAGGACCATCTCCTGCACCCAAACCTCTGAGACTCAAGCTGTCCAAGCATCCACAAAGGTCAACATTCCCCCAACCCTGGAAAGTAGTAATGTGAGGACTTGGCTAACACATCTGTGACATCTCACAAAACCTGCAAGGTCCACTCTTCTGATCCATCAGGCTTATGTCAGGGCAGAAACCACAATCAACCCTTATCTCAGACAGAACTATACATATCACAATGAGTCCTGGCCTGTTTATTATCTCCCGTGAGACCACTCGTATGGCGGTTGTCAGCCACTATATACGCAGTATGATAATCAAATCTGATCATCTCACACCTGTTACTAGAGCAGAAGGATTTATAGAGCAACCGGTGTAGATTGGTCCCAACACTGAAGATTGGAAGCTTGGCTTTAGATATGTATTAGAAGGGTGACTTTGCTCCTCAGATGTCGCAGCTCATTTATGCTCCCAGCCCACAAAGACTTTGGCCGAATGGATGTGACATATTAGAGGCTGCTCCACCATATTAAAGTATATTATTTACTGATCCCCAAACAAATTGTGGTTAATTATTACCAAGTAACAGATGGGCTTGGCATTATTGTTGTTTGTCTACACAGCAGTTAGTATGCCGAGATTTTATGGTCACCTTCACTAAACATCTAGACAAGGGTGACGTTTCCTCTGGGCATGTTCACCTTGTATTGCGGGGGGGGGTGTTCATTTGTGAGCTGAACATGACCACTTTGCTAGATTTTTTTTTAAATGACATAGTAACAGCAAACTCCCCATTATGCAGCATTCAAGCACCTGGCAAAACAAAATTGAAGACCTAGGCTTGATGGAGGCATGATGCACACAAAAAAAAAAAAATTAGTTGGCAACTAAATTTAGTTGCTAATGAAATTCTCGGCTTACATCTTGCTGCTGGCCGGCATCTAGATTCCACGGTCGGCAGCAGAATGTAAACAACGGGGAGCAAGAGCCAGCCTGCTATTGGTTATTTCAAACTGCAATAGCAGGGTGGCTAGTGAACCCGCCCACTGAGCAGACATGAGAACTTTTTCTCCCGGGTCCGCTCCTCTGCTCGGGTTTCAATAGCCACCCTGCTATTGCAGTTTGAAATAACCAATAGCAGGCTGGCTATTGCTCCTGGTTGCAGAAACTAGCTGGCAGGTGAATGGGGCTAACTGGGGTTATAAATCATAGGCACCTGCTAATATCAAGAGGACAGGCAAGCGTCGGGTATCGGCTACCTTGTTCCAGGGCTTTCTTCATTTCTTCATCCAGGCCCCTAATGATTACTTACACAGTTATTGAATTCTGAATTGCCAAGTTAGTGTGCCAGGTATCACACTGCATATTCTCCAAGGCACACCTTAAGCAATAGCATTAGGGTTACCACATGTGCTGATAAACTGTAAAAATAAAGTGGAACATTTTTAATTTCCAGAAGGTGGTCTGGTTTACAAACTCGGGAGTTAAATCTTGAAAATACATTCAAGTACCTGAACTATTACCAAAAACGTATCTAATTTGTGTATCACTCGGCTGTAGATCCTCCAATCATCTCTGAATTGTGTTGCAGTCACCGCTCCAAGCTCCCTCCTGGGATGGACTACAATCTCATGTTTAGTTTACCATTTTGTATTGAGATTGTAGTCCATCACGGGAGCGAGCTTGGAGCGGTGGTTACTTCACAACACACACAGGGACCATGGGGAGCAAAAGTAGCCCCCCTCCAGAAGGAAGGACAGTGTCAGCACCAATTCAGAGATGATTGGAGGATCTACAGCCGAGTGATACACAAATCAGATACATTTTTATTAATTAAGGTGCCTGAATGTATTTTAAGATTTAACTCCTGAGTTTAGTATCACATCAAGGCTATTCCCATGTGTCATTAATGCTTTGAGACACTTAAGAAATCTGACATTGGATGGTGATTTTACCCATGGATCCACACGTAGGTAAAGCTGTAGCCATTAATACACACGCCCGTAAAGTGTATGTGAACCCCTAACCATGAACTTCTCCTGTTCTTTACTCTTATACCTTTGAAAGCGTTGTTATATCCGTTTGATAAGTGCGGTAAAATACCTGGTGATCCTGCCAGAAATACGGGGCTGTCCTAGACACTCTACGGACTTACCTCAAATCTGCCCATACACCTATAGATTATCTGCAGACTTTCTATGGTCAGATGGAAAAAGTGCCACAGATTCCCCCATCTACACTAAACTGTGTGGAAGGAGGACAATATGATTGGGTTCAGGTATTTTGACAGCCAGCGGGGCCGACTAGCAAGATACTGAAGCTTGGCCCAGTGGGAGATTCCTCCATCCACACAGCTTAGCATTGGTGGAGGAATCTGTTGCACTTTTTTCCATCTGACCATAAAAAATCTGCAGATCATCTACAGGTGTATGACCAGCTTTACAGTCCCTGGCTC